AACCGTTCCACTACGGTTTATTTGTATCACAACTTCATATAATAACACAAGTGTTGAAGAAGACTAAGACGGGGCACCGTTTGTCCATTCGAATCACTTTTGATGTTAATGGCAACGCATGGCAAACGGCGTGTGAATGAAAGTCCTGGGTAAACTGGAACTCTTGTTCAGAAATCATTAACTAGAATTAGAATAAATTTTCTCTATGTGTATCATGAATCTGTTTTATGGCTGTTATTATAATAGCGTCACTGTTTGATAGAATCCGAGGTTATTCGAAATTGATGTGTTGTTTATCATAACACGACATTGCGTTCGTAATGTGTCATGTTTGTATATATGATGCCAGCGAGAACAGTTTTATACAGAATTCGACCTTGGACAAATTACGCAATTTATTGGTTCACTACTGGTTAACCCCAAATTTTATATCCTTGTTAATACCTTAACAATAACATCTTACAATAATGGAAATAAAAATTGTTAAAACAAGATCTTAGGGCGTAAAAATATTTAGATTTGGTACAGGACAGGAATTTGGTTTAGATGGACTTCGAGTGAGATACCACTGATGCATTCTGGATACAGACATTCTAATGACTTATAAAATATTCTTACTTGAAAATATAAATAGCAATATTTTTCCAAGTATATAGCCTTACACGGCATTGCTGCATTGATAAAAAAAAATTATCAGTATTACGGAACTTCATAAAAATTAATTTGGTTCTCGAAAATCGATGTAGTTAAGTCAAAACAGCACAACAACTTATAGGACTCTTAATGGGCCGATTCTGCCGAATACAACAGCTCAATGTTATGGCAAGGCCATGTTTCACTCCAACTTCCATACATTATGCTACAGAATCATACTAAATTCTGTCAAAATATCTCATGTATTATAAACTGCAGCGTCACTCGTATGCTATGAAGCTGAGTCAGAAAGACCCTGTTATCTAAGATCGTATTTTTTAACATTCGTGCGGTTTCTAGGTTAGGTTTTCTATCTGACAACCTGAGAAAAACACCTGAGTGCACAGCAACCACTTGGCTTTTGTCAATATTTAGAACGATTTTGTATGGAGAGATCTTCATAACATAACCTTGCCATAACATTTGTCTGTTATGCGGTAGAATCGGCTCATGAGTTTCGATCGCTGTTGAATAAATAAAAATGTTATTCAACAAAATGACTTGCGACTAAAATAATAGCTAAAATTGGTACAAGGATGTGCAGATGTCATTTGTACGTGAGGTAGAGCTAAAAATAGCAAAACAAATTATTCTATGCTTCAGAAGTAAATTAATTAGACAAACCAACATGCACCTAAAATTGGGTTGTATCAAAAGAGTAAAATAAAGTTAAAAATACATTAAAAAATACATAGAACAAAATTTGAGCCTGCAGAATGTAGAAATATATGCAACCTAATTTTTTCTAGTTAGGGAGCATCCATTAATCTCGTGAGGTTTTTAGGGGAAGGGTGAGGTTTGACAAAAAAAAATCACAAAATATCATGTGGGGGAGGAAGAACTATAGTAAGATATCACGTGTATTTATAATTTTGCACCTGATTTTTTTTCAAATCCAAACATTTTCAAAAATAAAATGAAAAAAATATATTTTTTTCGTAATTAAAAGTATACGTAATGTTTGGTGAGGGAAGAGGGGGGATAATTTGAATATAATCACGTATCACCAAAAGAGAGGGGGGAACCAAAAATCCTTAAAAATGAATCACGTGATTAATGGGCGCCCCCTTATATATCACTACTGCTTGATATCAGGTTGTCTGTAATGCAGAATAAAATTTCCAAGTTATTTGACAAAATTTAAAAAAATGTCCTGACTCTATATGATGATTGCAAAGATATAAGGGTC